TATCTCACTCTCGACACAGACAAATGGTAATACCACCTAATAAAGACAGCAGGCACATCGACTCTATGGGCAGGTGGCTATACTCCTCTGCCACTTTCACCATGAGAGTTACGAACTATCAGGGAGCTATGGGCGCCTACCAACATTTTCTCTGGGACAATGTCTACCTTTATTGATGCTGTCCCTGAAGACAAAAGGGTCTTAGCACAAACCTTTCAACAAGATGGTTTCTCAGTGGTGAAACAACAGATGCTATCTGCAAGACAAACAGTTGATGCCATGTCTAAATCAATGGCTACCTCTGTAGTGCTTCAATGTTTCTCCTGGCTTAGAACTGTGGGTCTAGCCAAGGACGTGTGTGCATGCATTGAAGACTTCCCATTCGATGGAGCTGGTCTCTTCAATGCTAAGACGAACAACGTTCTTGAGAATATTCAGAAAAAGAGGACAACTGGCAGGTGTTGGGGAGTTTACCCCACATACCAACAACACCCTTAGCACAGACAATGGTGCCACTCTTACACCTCCTATCAAATATTTCAACAAGAATCTCAAAGGCAAACATCTTATGTGTCTTACTACTGTATAAACAACAACCTTACTGAGTCAAACCAAGCCTACAAACCACAACTAGGCGCAATGACGTCCAACTGGCCAAGATCCCAATATTATCTTCCACCTCTCCTCTTGCCATTTGGAAGCACTTACCTGCATAGAAAAACATCACCACAGATCCTGGGTCCTCTCCATCATACGGAATGGGTACCGTATCGAATTCCACTAGCTTCCTCCATCATCGCATACATCACACCTCCGTCACAAACTCTACAGGATGAAATACGGTTGTTACCAATCAAAGATGCCATAGAACCAGTAACACTACAACATGCAGTCACAGGTTTTTCACTCTTGCTATTTCACAATTCCCAAAAAAGATGGAGGCCTTCACCCCATCCTTGACCTGAGGGAGCTAAATCAATACATTACTACCACAAAGTTCTGCATGATTACCCTCGAGTCCATCCTTCCCTTACTCTGCAAAAAAGCCTGGTTCACAGTTACAGACCTTATTTCCATAGACCTATTTCCACGTCTCCATCCATCCTTCTCACAGGCCTTACTTACACTTCCAACTCGGAACTCAGGCCTACCAATTCAAAAGACTTCCATTTGGATTTGCAACGCTCCCCAAGTATTCACCAAATGGTGATGTGGCAGCATAACTCAGACTTCACAAAATGCACATTTTCTCATTCATCGACAACTGGCTGCTCGTAGCACACTCCCGTCACAAAGCACAACGAGACATTCACCTTACTTTGTTTCTTCTCCAGGATCTCTGTCTTGCAGTAAATCTGCAAACATCCAAATTAAAACCCACAAGACTGGCTCACTATATAGGAGCAGTTCTAGACTCCAAACATGCTTGGGTGTTCCTTCCAACAGACAAACACCTCAATCTAATTTCCTTACTAAGTGCCTTCACTCCTCATGCACTCGTATCTGCGCTAACAGTCCAACATGTTTTAGGCACTATGGCGTCCATGACTGCTGTGGTTCAGCATGTTCATCTCAAAATGTGAACACTCCAGGCATGGTTATTAGCCTTGTTCAACCCATTGATAGATCCATCACATATGCTCTTGTAACTCCAGAACTCGCCTCCCAACTTGCATGGTGGCGCTCCACTCATAACCTGGGGATGGGATAGCCTTTTCAACAACTCCACAAATCCAGGTTACTACAGATGCTCACCTTACTAGCTAGGGTACCCATTGCAGACCCCTGCAAATCCATGCCCAGTGGGCACAAAGAGAGAAGCTGCTCCATATCAATGAGCTAGAACTCTTGGCAATAATAAAAGCCTACAAAGCTCTCAAAAACCATCTTATAGGCAAAATGGTTCAAAAAGCCACAGAGAACACCACCAGGATGTATTATATTATCAAACAAGTAGGCACTCACTCCCCAAGTCTTTTATACCTTGCTGTCAACCAGTGGGAATGGTGCCCCTCTCATCACATTTGTCTCATGGCAATATATATAGCCGCTCAGGACAACAATCTGGCGGATTTGCTCAGTTGCAAAGATTCTCAAGCCCACATGTGGGAGCTAGATCAATCAGTTTTTCTCTCCCTCTGTGAACGATGGGGCACACCCAGCATCGACCTCTTTGCCCCTCAGATAAATCAGAAATACGAGAGTTACTGCTCCTGTACAGGAGTAGGCAAGAACTCACGTGGAGACACTTTCATTGGCTCACTTACCTATTTCCACCATTCCCACTTCTCCACAAGGTCATAGTCCATCTTCAACAGGACAGACTCAATGCTATCCTGATAGCCCTGTGGTGGCCATGGCAGCCATGGTTCCCGATTCTTCACCACCTGTCATCCAGCATTTATGACCTGTCCCATCTGCCTCACCTGCTCACGCAGAACAAAAATCTAATTCTTCACCAAGATCTTCCTGCCCTTCATCTCGCAGCGTGGAGGATTCAGCCTCATCGATGAATGTCATTCATCAGGCAAAGAAACCTTATCCAGGAAAGCTTATATGAACAAATGGAGAAAATTTCAATCTTTTACTGCAGCATCATCCCTTTCCTTAACCATCCCTTCTCTCACCACTGTCTTATTTTTTTTATTGCAGTTAAAAACTAAGGATCTTTCTTATCCCTCAAAGTCTACCTTTGAGCAATTGTGGCTTATCAACCACCAACCTCTCCGACAGCTAAGTTTTTCAAACACCCTACTCTAAAACATTTCCTCAAAGGACTATCACACCTATACCCAGATGTATGCCCTCCACCACCTTAATGGTCATTGACAACTGACACTGGTCCTTTGACAACTGACAAGGCCTCCATTTGAGCCCCTGGCATCAACCAACTTCAGATTACTTACCTTCAAAACAATATTTCTTATGGCCATCATGTCAGCTCAACGTGCTAGTGAACTTGCGACCTTAAGGTCTGACTACCCTTATCTCCAGTTTTACCTAGATAAGGTTAACATTTTTGTAGATTTTTTTTCCTACCAAAACTTATCTTCTAGTTCCACCTGTCCCAACCTTTGGTTCTTCCTTCCTTCCTTCCATCTCTATCTACTCCTCAAGAAAGGATTATCCATACATTGGAAGTAAAATGGGCCCTGGCCTTCTACATAGCCCACGCTCAATGCTTCAGACGTTCAGCTCAACTTTTTGTCAGCTTCCAATTTCCTGCCAAGGATCTTCAAGTTACCTTGCAGAGAATATCCAAGTGGGTTGCATGTACAATCCAGTTTGCTTATCAACTTGCTCTAATTCTAGTGCCACAGAGTATCCACCCTCATTTTACCAGGGCATTGGCAACATGTATGGTGTTTCTTTGGGGCATCCCCTGCTGGACATCTGCGCCTCTGCCACATGGTCACAGCCATTCATGTTTAACAGTCACTACAGACTGGACACTTGGCAGAAATCTGATGCTGCTTTTGGGTGTGCTGTTTTATTATCTACCTTGGCATGACACCATCCTCTGGGTAAGACAGCTTGTTAGTCACCCATAGTGTGATTCACAGAGGCCATGAAGAAGGACAGATTACCTACCTATAATTGTGGTTCTTTGAATGGACCTCTATGATTCACACATCCAGATCCAGCCCCCCCACTATCATGCCCTTTTTCTTTATGCAGCAGTTAACCTACTGAAGGGAGAGCCTTGGTGCCAAGGTACATATACCAAGATACTAATGTATCTTTTTGCTACCGCAGAAGCTCTAAAATATTTTGATGAGGCTCTGTGCATGTGTGGATTATCTATAGTGTGAATCACAGAGGTCCACTCAAAAAACCACATTATTTACAGGTAGGTAACTTGTTGTTCCCTCTATTAGGCACTGATTGGGCCTCATCTTCAGTACTGTGCCTAGTTCTAGATGCTGTACTTCAAGAAAGATGCAGACATACTGGAACAAGTTTGGAGGAGGGTGACAAGGATCATGAGGGAACTGGAATTCAAGCCCTATGAGCAAAGACTGAAAGAACTGAGCATGTTTAGGCTTGAGAAAAGAAGACTAAGGGGAGATATGAGAGCACTGGTCAAATACTGAAAAGATTGTTATCCAGAAGTCAAGTAGGATCTGTTTTCAGTCATCCCAGAGTGCAGGATGCATAATAAGTGGACTCAAGTTACAGGAAGACATATTTCAGTTCTATATCAAGAAAAATTGCCTACCTGTTAAACCACTGGTTCTTAACCTTGGGTTACTCAGGAGTTTTGGACTGCAACTCCCAGAAGCCTTCACCACCAACTGTGCTGGCTGGGGTTTCTGGGAGTTGCAGTTCAAAAACATCCGAGTAACAAAGGTTAAGAACCACTGTGTTAAACAATGGTACAACAATGGATCAATTACCATGGGAGGTGGTGAGTGTTCTAACAGTGAAATCATTTAAGAGTAAGTTGATGTCAGATATACTTTGATTTGGGTTCCTATATCTAACAGGATTGGACTCAATAACATTACTTTCCAGACATTTTTCTGTCTATACTACATTGAAGCAGGGTTTAAACAAATAATTGACTTGAAGACTTGCACCAAGCTGGATCAGTAGAAATTTTGTTCTATATACAAACATCCTTAAGGTATCTTAAGGACTACCAAATTTATTTGGCCTAAACTTCCCTGGGTCTGATAGCCATTCTGGATTTTGAGGTGTGATGTGAACATATTGCCTCATACTCAATGTTTGATATTAAAATATTATATTTGATACTTGATATTCTGAAAATGTATTCGCTGGCAAATAAACTGCCCCCAAATCCTCCCAAAGATTTCTAACCAAGTTATTATGCAAACCATGTTTCTCTTTTTATGTAAATCTTTCACTATTATGGATATAGCTTACAGTGCCAAACTGCAGAAACCTGTTACATCTCTTTGCATTTACTAGGATGGGTTATCTACCATATGTTTCACACATTACTAACAACAATAACACTGCAATGTGTTTTTTAGGAACAAGCGATCTGGCTTCGATACCTCAGTATAATCTGCATTCTTGCAATAATTTCATCATTTTGCATTGGACCAGGTAATGTTTTCCCCACCCCTCATTCCAGTACATTTGTTAAATAAATGTTCAGCTATTCAGATTAAAATATTATTGCATTTGTGTTCCTGCTGATAAGTATATGGTGTGTACATTTGCTTTTCTTGTCTGTAAATGTTGGTCAAGATGCAATTAGGAAAACAAGAAAAAGATCAAATGCAGTATATGTCATGTTAATATTAACAGAAATATTTATTAGTGCTATTGCTGCTCTGAATAAGTGAGTAGGGGAGATACCACTGAACATCATTGATCTAATCTTGCGAAATGCTTGCTGCTTTACTTGTGAGTTTAGAAGTCCCAAAAACAGTTTCAGTATAGTTCTGCAACACATGCCCTGATTTTCAAAGGAGGTGTGCTCATATTGAAACATCTTACTTTTTTTTAGTGTCATACAACTCTTTAATCATACCCTGTCTGAGGATTAGGTGCAGTTGGTTTGTATTGGTTTCAGTAGAATGTAAATATACCTTTCTTGTCTCAAACATTGAGACCTTCAAATATAATCTACTTCGAAATTTTCTGGTACCTTGATGTAAGGGAGAAGACCTGCCTAAGACTGCAATAGTGAGCATGAACCAGAAAAATACAGGCAGTGTTTTTGCACAGTTCACAGTATTTCTTGTACAGTTACCCTACCTCATGGTACTTCCTTTTGATTGACTTTTGGTTGCTGAATGTGGCTATTCTTCTGTGATTTTTTGTGTGCATTCAATTAGCTCACAAGGCAGGTCATTAATTAAGTTTAATATAAAGTAAAGTGGCCGTGTTAGCTCTCTCAGCATGTTGGCAAAATTAAAGAAGGGGAAAATGAAACAAAATTAAAGGGAAAAGGACAAAATATTGTGGCATTTCAGTAGATTTGTTTCTATGTGAACTGTTATGGATCAAAATCTATACAATGTTTGAAGAAATGGGTTTTAATCCAGAAAAGCTCATATTGAAACAAATGTATTAATTTTTTAAATGAGAAACTATGTCGTCATTGTTTTTTCCTTCCCCCACCATCTTTAATTCTGTCAACAATTTGAAATAAAGACGTCCTTAAGTTTTTATACAAGTAAGTAGAAGCAATGGCAGATTAAAGGAACAGGGGAGTTCTGTATTCTTGTTTAAAACTGAAGCATAAATGTATTTGTTTATGTAGGCCTGTGTATAAATTTAGCTTGCTTCTTTCCAACAACATGTACAGAAACACATTGGGCAGTTCAGTATGGTCCAATACTGAAAATTTCAAAGTTAATATCTGCTGGTTCAGGAGATTAATGAACACACATACACTATCTTTCTTACATTGTCAGTGATAAAATCTATTTTTGTTTACAGTTTTTAAAAACATTATACAGTGGTGCCTCGCATTGCGACATTAATTCGTTCTGCAAAAATCGCTGCAGAATGAAAACATTGCAATGCGAAATAAAAAAGCCCATAGAAACGCATTAAAACCTGATTAATGCTTTCCTATGGGCTTAAAACTCGCCGTTCAGCGAAGATCCTCCATAACGCAGACATTTTCAGTGGCTGCAGAGCGAGGAATCCATCCCAGAAAACAGCGGGTGACCATTTTGTTTACCCAGCAGCCATTTTAAAACCGCTGATCAGCTGTTTTAAAATCGTCGCTTTGCGATGCTCAGTTCCCGAAGCAGGGAACCGATCATCGCAAAGCGAAATTCCCCCATAGGGAACATCGCATTAGATAATATTGAGTGCCTTCCTCTCTTGGAAGAGTTGGACAGCGAACCAACTTTAGCAGAAATAAAAGTAGCCTTGGATTCCCTCGCCTCCGGCAGGGCACCTGGGAAGGATAACATCCCTGCTGAAGTGCTGTAAAGACATCATCAACACCAAATCTTTTGTCTTTGCTGGAGGGAAGTTGGAGTACCACAGGACATGAAGGATGCAAACATTGTCAGATTGTATAAGAACAAAGGAGACAGGGCAACTGCAATAACTACTGTGGCATCTCTCTTCTCAGAGTTGTAGGGAAGCTGCCCGTGTTGTGCTGAAGAGGCTCCAGATGCTTTCAGACAGATTCTATCCAGAATCAAAATGTGGATTTCTAGGTAATAGATCCACCACTGAAATGGTATTTTCCCTCAGACAGTTGCAGGACAAAGGTAGGGAACAACACCAGCCACTCTTAGTGGCCTTCATAGATCTCACAAAGGCCTTTGATTTTGTTAGCAGGGATGGCCTTTTTAAAATCCTTCCCAAGATTGGATGTCCACCTCGACTCCTTAACATCATCATATCCTTTCACGAGGAAATGAAGGGCACTGTTGTTTTTGATGGGTCAACATCTGAACCCTTTGGCATCCAAAGTGGAGTGAAACAGGGCTGTGTCCTCGTGCAAACTCTGTTTGGGATCTTTTTTGCTGTCGTGCTGAAGCACGCCTTTGGAACTGCAACAGAAGGTGTCTATCTCTAGACTAGATCAGATGAAAAGCTCATTAATCTCTGAGAGCAAAGATCAAAATCCAGCTGAAATGCATGTGGGAATTCCTCTTCACCGATGATGCAGCTGTTGTTGCCCATTATGCTGAAGACCTCCAACAACTCTTGAATCGTTTTAGCAAAGCCTGCCAAGACTTTGGATTAACAATCAGCCTGAAGAAAACACAAGTCATGTGCCAGACCGTGGACCCATCTCCCTCTGTTACCATCTCCACACAAGAATCAGAGGTTGTTCATGATTTCGTGTACTTTGGCTCAACAACCTCTGACACTCTCTCCCTAGATGTCAAGCTGGATAAACACATTGGCAAAAGCAGCTACCAGGCTCTCTAGACGCACAAAGGGAGTATGGCTTAATAAGAAGCTGACAGCATTTACCAAGATCCAAGTCTATAGAGCCTGTGTCCACTTCTGCACTGCAGTGAGTCCTGGGCCCTTTGTGCACAGCAGGAGAGGAAGGTGAATACATTCCATATGCATTGTCTCCGATGCATTTTTGGTATCACCTGGCAGGACAAAGTACCAAATCATCCTAGAACGAGCTGGAATTTTTAGCATGTATACATTACTGAAACAGCGATGTGTATGTTGGCTCGGGTATGTTGTGAGAATGGCTGACGGTCAGATTCCAAAAGATCTCCTGTATGGAAAATTAGTGCAGGGAAAGCGCCACAGAGGGAGACCACAGTTGTGATACAATTATATCTGCAAGCGGGATCTAAAGGCTTTAGGAATAGACCTCAACACATGGGAAACCTTGACATCTGGAGGCAGGCAGTGCTTCATGGCCTCTCCCATTTTGAAGAGACACTTTTCCAGCAGGCTGAAGTAAAGAGGCAGTCCTGAAAACTAGCAAAATAAGGGAGCTAGACAGGGGACAGATTGCATTTGTCTTCATTGTGGTAGGGATTGTCACTCTCGAGTTGGCCTTGTCAGCCACACTAGATGCTGTTCCAAAACCTCTATTCACAGCATGTTACCATAGTCTCTTGAGACTGAAAGATGCCTAATCTATAAATTTTCATGTGTATATGCCATTGCTTCATGCCAATAGTCCTTGAAAACCACTTTTGGTTTTAAGATATTCTGGCTTTTCTCTCAACACTTTCACAAATTCTTTTTTTCCTGTATTTGGTGAAATTTACGAACAGGTGACATGGTTGACCTCTGACTTTTCTTGATGCACGATGGGCTCGTTCAGTATCAAACTTTCTCCAGTTATTTAACCAATCTAGTATTATTTTCAATAACTCCTTTTCCCATGGAGCACCTTCCTCCAAGCCTTTAACTCTTATGTTTGACCTTCGTGACAAATCCTGTTGTGTTATCATCTGAGTCTTTAGGTCAATAATTCTCTTGCATTTTTTTGTAATCTTGTATTGTGTCCATTTTCTTGTCAAGGTTCTGTATTCTTTCATCTGTTGCTTTAACACTCTCATTAATATGTGAAATAGTGTCAGTACGTTCTAGCTCAGGTCTGGGTCCTCCTTCTTGTGTTTTTTTTTTGCAATTTCTGTGCCTTTTTTTTTCTGTTGCAGCCTCATATAGCCTCTTTAAATTATGGTCAGAAGGTTTAATTTTGGATCCCGATCTGGATACTGAACCTGATTCAGAGTTTTCTCTTTTCCAAACCACTCTATTTTCTCTTATATTTTTCACAGCAACTCTGATTTCCTTTTGTCTTGACCTTCCTTGTCTCATTAATATCTTTTTTATCCAAGCTTCTACACAGTTCCCTTTATTTTTAAGAGAGTCTACAGCAATAATACAATCCAAAGAAAAAAGCAATTGCAATGAATCTGGATGTAATTATACAAATTCCCAGCAACTGGAGCTCAAGAGTAGTTTAAAAGTCTTGCAGAGCTTTATTATTCATGTCAAGATAATTTAGTTTCATTTATCAGTTTTGTTTATATTTCTTTCTTTCTTTCTTAATATTTTAAACTGCAAGAATAGGCAACAATCATTATTACAGGCACTTCATCTAAACATCTAGTTAGTACTTTAGTCTGAGACTCTTTTTTTCCCTTCCCATGGGCGTCAGTCGGAAGTTTTTAAAGTAATTGATTACATTCCTTTGAGCTTCATGAGCTTCAACAGTTGTTAACAGCAAACTGAATGTTTCTCTTTCAAATTCACAGCTAGTAATCAGGGGACAGGGTGTTTTTCTCTCCTCTTTCGTCTCCTTCCACTTGTTACCGAAGCTCCCCGTCCCCTTTTCCAATGGCTGCTCTTTCAGCATCCTTTATTACACTTTCACTTTTCTCCCAATGCTTCATATCACACAAAGTATTACTTATCTATGAGTCATCGGACTGTTCTTTTTTCTGCCTTCTTTTTCACCAGTGCAGCAGCTCTTGGGAATTTAACCTTTTGCCATTTTGCTCCAGGCCACACACCCCAAAAATTATCTGGATTTGTTCAGCTTCCGACACTGGTAGATTGTTGTTCTGGGTAGCCAATTTTGTGGCTGTAATGAAGTCCACAACTGGGATCTGTTTCGGTGTGATGGCCAAATTTAGGCCTTT